GTTTCTTTCATTTTCTAAATCAATGTTGTTGAAAAAATGAACTTTTTTTTTTCCTATCTTCAAAACTTCTATATATTTTTTTTATTATATTATAAAAATAAAATAAATAGCACTGTCATATTTGAAATATATTTCTATATGTTAAAATTCAAATAAACTTAACAATAATGCCATAGCAGAAAAGTTGTATAGTAATTTGTCTTCGTCTTTCTGTGAAGTATATGAATATGGTCTAGAGCACATAATTCTATATTTTTCATCGATATTTATACTGTTGTGATCAGATGATATCAGATGAAAGAGAACTAAATCCTTTTGTACAATAGAAGATTTTACTTAATCTTCAAACACTTTTTATGATTCCAGCTGGATACAGAACGTCGTTTTTCATTGCCTATTATGTTTACACTTATCTCTCTTTTCTAATCGTTAGCCTTCTAACAATGTAAAAAAGTCGTATTTACTTTCGTCAATAAGTATTACATTAAAAAAAGTACCAAGATATGTCATATAGAACAGTATAATCGTGATAGCGATTTTATTCGTTGTAGAACGCAAAAAAATAAACAGAAGAGACACATTTTTTTTTCATTCTTTCGTACGATTGCATTAGTATATGAATAGATGTGCAGCCATTAAGTCACCTATGCTGTAATCAAAGCTCTGGATCTAATTTCTTCAATAATATTTTAAATTTGTACTTTGATCATAATCTCTTAGAAAAATATTTTTTTAAATTGCGAATATTTTCATAGGTCAGGTGTCATAATGATGTTTTTGTACATGAAAAAGTCATGATAAAGATCTTCAATTCATCGATGTCTAATGTAAATCAAGTTTTGCTTATTTATTTACATGTGGATTCGGCTGGACCCACAAAACATCGTTTGGATGACAAAAATGAGAATAGTACTCGAGAGTTAATTAATTAGCATCTTGTGAAATTCGAACTTTAATTAGTATATTTATATGAAAGTATGCGTTTTTTTTTCAAAGTTTCGAGCTAAAAAAAATCTTAGATGTCTAACATTAAAGTTATTTCTAGCTTCTGAAACTCGAAAAGACTCTTGTTAAGTCCTCAACGGCTTTTTGGTTTTTTTCTTTGACAAAAAATACCTTTAAATATAAAATAATAAAAATAAACGAGACATAATAGAAGACCCGAGATCTTGTATAATAACGATGTATTTTAATATGAGTGAATATATATTCAGATACATTTCTGTTGTTGTCGTATGTATTATTCTTTGCTATTTTGCCTGATTCTAATGCCAATATGATTATCTCATGTGAAAAGCACTTTCTTTGAAACACATAATGTTATTATCAAACTGTAGTCAATGTATTGAATAAAGAATAATATTATTGGGATACATTAATTCAAGTAGCATTGATGATTGTATAAGTAATCAAGTCGAAAACGACTAGTTGAATGCTATTGAAATTGTATCTTTTCTAATTGTTAGAACAAATTGAAGGAATACTTAAAATATTTTTTCGATATGTCTTCTTATCACTATAATGCAATAGAAATTCAATAAATTTATCGAAAAAAAAAAATTTATTTGCTATGAATAGATTGAAAATCATTCACATTAATGTCACAATGGACTACTAAAGTAAACACGAATATTATTCAACGCAGAGCAATCACATGCATTTATTGTAGTTCTCGAAAACTAACTCGAAAGTCATGCTTCTTTTTTTTTCTTCATTCTATTCATTTTAAAATCTTTTCTTTTACTTCGAGATTATCTTCTATCTTATCTTCTTTATTTGTTTTTCTAGTTAATAAAAAAAAAATCGTTTATTTTTCAAGATAGTTTTTATGAAAAACATCAACATTTCTGATAATTTTGATTTGAGATTGATATAAGTTATTATCTTCATTTGATTTGATTGAACAATGTTGTTGCTCATCTCTATCAATAATTATAACTGTAAAATATATTTTTAAGCTGTCAAAATCTAACTAAAATAAATTTTTTTTGTTTTATTAAGATTTGATTTGAATAAAAACTCTAATGGTAGAATAATAAAATATAATAAAAATTTATTTTTTTTATATCTAGCTATCGGTACATGTGACACATACGAGTTGTATTGTAAATGATGGAACACAAAAATATAATGACTTCTACAACAGGATATTAAGATGATAACAAACACCGCGATAGCCGATCGTTTATGATGTTGTATACAACTTTTTTTTATTAGTCATTATATTCCCATTAGTTGATGTTCTAATGGAAATCCAGTACGATCTTGGTGAATCATTAGGTTTGTTCGACACTTTTTACCTGTCAGATCTCACATCCAACAATTTTTAAGAAAATCCTATAGGAATTAGTCGGATATCTATGGAATTTCATCAAACTATTCAGAGTATATTATAAAATTTGATGAGCTCAAAGTCTGAGATTCTTTGTCCTTGGTAACATTTATAAGTTAATCCTAAAGTTTTAATTCGGAACATGTAATTCTACTCGAATAATGAAAAGAATTGGTTGTATCAATTTACTTTAATACTAATTTTATGATTCTGAATACGAAAAATCTTTAATATTGAAGGAAAAAATGTGATTTAAATGTTCATACGAGCAAAGAGAACAAATTAATTATTATCAAGTTGAACATTATGATCTATGTCAGCATACAAAAGTACAAATTTATTCACATTCATATTAAGCAAAATATTCAAACTTGAATTCATAACTATGCATTAATGAATTACGAATAATTTACATAAATTAATGAATAAAAATAAGATTTTAAACGGTACAAAGAACTTTTTATAGAATTTTCATTTATTAACAACATTACTCATAATAATTTCAGTCGAACTTTAACATATATGAATTGTTGTAGTTTTAGTTTGATGATTTCAATAGATTCCACTTTGAATACTAGTAAATAGATGATAGAGTCTATTAAAGTAACCACATTAAAAAAAGATATTTCCTTTGGTAAAATAATTTTATTTGGAAAGAAAAAATTTTCGTACCATAATGATGTTCCTTTGAAACTATGTGGCAATAAAGAAATTTATTTTTTTTTTCGAGAAAAAATGTTCTTGAAAAGTAGAAAAATCAAGCCTTTGCCTATCCATAATGTTTCTTTTTTGACTCTTTTTTTTGATGGTTTGTCTTTGAAAAATAAAGTTTTGAGCGGAACAAGAAAGACTGATTAGATTGATTTTAGCACTTTTATTTTTCGCTCTAAACAACCAAAATAAGTTACAAATTAAGGCGATTCTCTATATAAAAGTCGTCAGTCTTATATACCATAAAAGTCTCGTTCAAATCAAGAAGCGAGAACTTTATATGTTAAGAAAGTTAGCACCGAAATCGACTTTTTCTTTCTGACATTTATTCGGGTCTTATGACAAATCACTAATTACTTGTGGTTGATTTATAATTTGATTCCTTATCGAATGATGATATTTTCGAAGGGTGTCGTCGGTCAAAAAATGGGCGTTTCATGCGATATATTAGATTTTTGACTCCCTTCTACAAATATATTGTGCAACATAGTTAAAAGCTTTCGAAGACTTTGTTGACTTTCAACAGTACAAGCAGAATTGTTTCAAGTTCGATCACATATTCTTTCAGTCAACATTTTCATATAGGACAGAATATAATGAAGCAGAAGATCTAAGCATACGATTATTGATCGAAGTGGAATTGGCTTTCTTTTTTGTTATTTCTTTTCTCTTCAATGTATATGAAACTCAAGGACTACCCTAATATGTTTGTTAGTTCGGACAAATTCGTACTCATTTGATGACGTCTGAAAAACAGTAAAACTGATGTAGAATGCATTTGAACATTGCAATGCTTTCTTGTTTAAAACAAAACTAAAGCAAATGATACTGTTCTTCCTTCTCTTCTCCTCCCGTTTGGATGTGAGTAGTAGTCTTATTTCCTTCAATATCCACATTCACTTGATTATTCTATATAATATTCAAACTTTATTATTTATAATAGAAAGAGAAAAGATAAAGATCATGCACTAAAATAAAGGACAGAAAAAAAAACACAGTTTTATACAAAACCTCTCAACACAAAATTTATGAACATTTTTATAACAACATAAAGTCTAAAAGATCATTATTTTACCTCAATTGTATAGTCATATATCTTCTTAACCAGTAAATATAGGTATTGTATTATATGTTACTGCATTTGCTTGATTTAATGAATAAGTAATACTTAGTTAATTTGTAATTACATAGAGCACTATGAAAATGTTTTCATTTGGCTCTCCTAAAAGACATAATTCGAATGCAACTATTTTATGATAATGCTTAGACATATTTAGGATAATGTGCAAAATTTCACACTCACCAGTTGCACCCTTCATTATAATTTTAGATTTTTTTAAGACTCGTGGTACACTATTTTGCAGATGCATTTCAAATTCTCATCAGAACACTTTCAAACAATGACTTTACAGAACTAATAAAGTAGCTTGACTTCTGAGAAAAGTCATGCATGTTTAATATAAGTATGAGGTGATTTAAATTTTATTTGACATTCTTTTTCTATAGGTATAATGTGTCACAAGAATTAATAAATCAACTTTTATTAAACTACTCTATTTTTCTAAGTTATTATTATTTATGATGGTTGTAGAAATGTTGTTCAGTGTAACATCATCGCTATTGTGATTGACGCATGCCAGAAGAAAATAAAGTATTTATAAAAGAGGGAAAATTCGATTCGATACATATACAATTATCAATCTCACAACAAATTACTATAAATCAATCGTTGTTTTATAATCACTGACAGCGTTTTTTTATATGATGGTTACCTTTTCATTTTTGTTTCTATTTGCTCGACAAACACTTGAATGCAATTTTTTATCGACTTGGACGCGATTTCTTGTTTTTTTTTTCAGGGATTTATTGCAGTAACATGTGATCGAAAAGAAAAAACAAAATTCTTTTTACTTTGTTGTCTTTTTAGAATCATCGGTATCCATATCATCGAATTTAAATGGCATCAAACTTCAAACTAGACAATAATGATCTAGAGATATTTACTTTAATTTGGCTTGATGCTGAAGTAAATGGACCGGAAAATAAACAAACTCAAAATGACTTTCGTCAATTAAGTATTGATTTTAAAACATTTGATAGTATTTATGATTGTGAATTATATATTGAATCATTATCAATTGATACACGTATTGTTTTAATTGTTAGTGGTCGTTTAGGTCGAGAAATGGTACCACGTATTCATGAAATCAAACAAATTCATTTGATTTATGTTTATTGTTTTGATAGAAAAGGAAATTTAGGATGGACAAAAAATTATTCAAAGATTAAAGATGTTTTAACAGAAAAAAAAGACTTAATTAAACAAATTCGTAATGATAATAAAAAAGAAATTTATCAAATCAATAATGAATCACTTTATATAAATATTTATACAAATAAATCTGATGATCAATTTATTTATTCACAATTATTAATTGATTATTTACTTAAAATGAAAATTAATTCAATAATTGATAAACAATTTTTTACTTTATGTGAAATAGAATATGATGAAAATAATTTAGAATTAAAAATTCTTGAAGAATTTCAACAAAATAATTCATCTGAAAATAGTTTAGATTTATTAATAAAAGATAAATTTCTTTCAAAATTATTAACTAAAGCATTCAATAGAAAAAATATTAATTTACTTTATTTATTTCGTTTTTATATTCGTAATATACATCAACAATTAGAATTACATAAATGTTTAACTTCTATAAATGTTTACTATAGTTATTTAATAACTGATGAAGAATTTGAACAATTAAAAAATTCTATTGGAAAATTTATATCAATTAATACATTTTTATTAACAACATTTCAATATGATAAAGCTTTTCTTGCTTTAAAACAAGCAAATAATTCAAAAAAAATTTTATTTGAAATTTTTGCTGATCCATCTATTGATGATATTAAACTATTTGCTGATATAAAATCATTTAATTCATCTATAAATCAATCACAAATACTTTTTATGTTAGGATCAATATTTCATATAGAAAAATTATCTCAACAAGATGATATTTGGATATGTCAAATGAATTTATCGAGTAGAAATCATCCAGATTTGAAAAATATTTTTGAACGAATTAAAGAAGAAGATGGTGATAGTGAAACAGATCTTCTTTCATTTGGAAATTTTTTAGCACGTATAGGTCAACATGATGATGCTGAAAAATATTATAAACATGTATTAAATGAATTACCATCTAATCACGAAGATATACATGTAGTTTATCGTAATCTAGGAAATGTGGCCTATATTAAAAATGATTATGATAAAAGTCTTGAATATCATTTAAAATCATTAGAAATCCAAAAACGTTTATTTAAAAGTGATGACTCAAATATTGCCAATAGTTACAATTGTCTTGGTGTTGTTTATTTTAATAAAAATAATTATAAACAAGCCATTAATTCATATGAAAAAGCATTAAATATTTTAAATTTAACATTGGAAAATAATCATACAAAAATAGCTACTTGTTTAAATAACATTGGTCTTGTTTATCGAACAGAAAAAAATTATTTTAAAGCACTTGATTCTTATAGAAAAGTTTTAGATATTGAAAAAAAATATTTATCCGAAAATCATTCTGATTTAGGACAAACATATCATAATATTGGTGCACTTTATTGGTGTTGTGGTTTCTATGATAATGCGATGGAATATTATAATTTATCACTTGAAAATAAATATCAATATCTTCCATCTCAACATATATCTATTGCTATGACATTAGAAAATATTGGTTTAATTCATGAAAATAAAAATAATATTCAAGAAGCATTGAAATACTACAAAGAAGCTGCAATTATTTATCGACACACTTTATCACCAGTGCATTCAGATGTTCTACAAATTGAAAATAACATTTCACGTGCTTTATCTCATTTAAAATAAAAGAAAAACCTTTTGAAATATACAAAGATTTCGAATGATTTTATTTTGTTCGATATCATATATTTTGAAAAGGAGAATGTCAATGTTCTTGATCTTTCTTCCCTACGTGCATCGTACTCTCTAAAAAAAAAAGGGTGTCACAGTGAACCTTTCAAGATTTTAGACAAGCCTTGAAACTTTTAAGTTCGGAAAAATATTTCTCCAAGATTCTCAGAAACTCAAAGATTTGAAAATTCTCGAGATGAGAAATATATATCCCACTGGGTCTCAAAGGGTTAAATATAAAATACATTAATACGTCAAGTAAAGCCCAAGTTTATCCTTTTTGACATTTTGTTAGCAAAATGTCATTAGCATGCGTTTTATACGACAACAACAGAATGCTTTGATGTTTCCACTAATAATAGAATTCAAAAAGCCCTATCGTCTAGTGTATTTAATAGTTTCGGTAAAAAACATCATACGTGTGAAGAAAGGCAACTTTCATACAAAATAGCATAAAAATGAGTATATTTACAAATTTTTCATTGTGAAAAGTTGAGCTTCATCAAAACTAAATCTCATATTGGCAATCAGCATACTAAATCACACCAAGAGCCACATTTTACATCTTGAAATATTTCTTAGAAAAATTCTATTATACTTCTGCTGAACTATTTACGTCAAAAGTTTTATCCTATGGTTCTCTACAGGTGAAATGTTGATGGGAAATATTTCATGATGATAAATGTATTTACTGATGTGATTTTGCATGTTAATTACGAATAAGAGGTTTAATTTTGATGAAACTCAACTCTTTGCAATGAAAACTCTGCAAAGTGCGCTTTTTATGTTATTTTTATATGAAAATTGGCTCTACAGAGTATCATCTTATGTGTTAACACTTGAAATATCAAAGGTTTACTGTAGTAATTTTACACTGTCATACCGCCGACGACAAAAAAAAACGGCTAAACAAGAAAATTTTAAGCAATCGAGAAAATATAATCTATGGAAAACACGCCAGCATCTGCAAACATATGTTATGAATAACAGGAAAAAGAAAACTTTTGATAGAAAGTGATTGATAATTTTGCATGGAGTCAAAATTGATAAATATATCAGATGATAGAACTGTTTGAACTCTCTATCACTAGTGGAAATATTAAAGCATTCCATTGTTGTCGTATAAAACGTACTCCAATAACATGTTGCTAACAAAATGCCAAAAAGAATAAACTAGAGCTTTGTATGCGATATTCATATATTTTATATTTAATTGAAAAAGTTTTTCAAATTTCGTATGTAGTACTAAAAATCATTAGCAATTACAACTAAACTAGCATAAAATCAAAGCTTCGCTATTTCGAAATACAAAAAGTAAATTTTTCGAAGAAAATTTACATTAAAAAAAAAATGATTCAAACTTTCATTAGTATTATTAATAATGACCTTGAAAAAAGTGATAAGATGTTGAACTGAATATTTCAGAGATTACTACAGCCCATCATTATCTACAACATATCAAAAAATTTTGAGATATTACTCCATAGATTTAAATAGAATCATTCTTCATTTATGATCAAGAAAATTAATTTGTATTTATACGAAAATTTTCATAGAGTTCTTTAGATTGATATCCCACGACATCTTTAATATGCATGTTCAGTTTGTATGAATTCTATAACCAATGAAAAAATACACGAATGTCGTCACTCATTGCGTTCCGTTCCGATATGTTAACTGGTCGTTTTATATTTAGGTCAGACTCTTCTATTTTTATCTAATAAATTAACAAAAACAAATATCTATTTGATATTATAATAATATTAACTATGATTGAAACACCTCTTGATGTCATTGAAAATATATTTAAAGATCTTCGTCAATCATTTAATAATGGTAAAACAAAATCATTATTATGGCGTAAAAAACAAATTGAACAAATATATAAAATGTGTGATGAACAAAAACATGTTTTTGCTTCAGCTGCTTATAATGATTTTCATCGACCAACATCTGAAACAATTTTATTTGATTGTGGTTCAGTAAGTTTTTCTGTTTTTTTT